AACAGTGTGTGCATATTTTATAAACCGCTTAAGTGAACATCTGCTATGCATGGTCATACCCGTGTGAATGCGAAACCCAAATTAGTTAGAACGCAAGCGTTAGGCGCTGTCAAAATGGGATCAGATTAAATAGGATTTGCCAGACCTGACAAATTTTATCTGATGTTGTTATTAAATACGGGTTCACTCAACTAGGATGTTAGTCCTTGGATTAGGCAGGGACTTAAATTTGTTGGAATGTAACGCGAAAACATAGTTTGCCCATGTTGTAATCATCCACGGGTAGGGAATCCGCAAAGTAACTATTGCTATAAAATTTAACTATTATAATAACTAATTTCTATTCTCTTTAGAAATACGTATAGAGAATACGTTTAGAAGTACGTTATGAGACTTAGTTATCCAAGGCTTATTCTTCTAAGATTACTTCCTGCAATTCCTTAGTTATCTGATTTAAAGTTAAGGCCTTGTAGCCAGCCTATGCGGTAGACATTTTTTTTAGACGCGCTTTTATTAGATTCGCTTTAAACTTACTATGTAAAGTAATCTCGACACTTATTAACACTAAACTTATTTATAATTATTAGCGTATCAACGTGAAACTTTGTGTGTATATGTAGTTTGGACGAGAATATTATAACTTGGCATCTTCTCTTGAGGAATTATTTCTAACTTTAGTTTGGTTTTTAGTACTTTTGTTTCTGGGCATTGTGTGTATTTATTAACTTCATGATATTTTGTTGGTTTACACTGACAAAATATACTACTAATACTCCAGAAGCTGTAACGTAATAAACTCAGAAGTATTGTGACTGGTTTTGATTGTAAAAAAGGTACGAGTACAGTACCTTTTTTATGGAAGAGGGGCAAACCTACATAAATTTTTAATGTTTTTTTTTAAATATTATTTGAAATGACCACCCGAAGGTTGACTGGAAGACAATGCTCTGGGCAATAAATCCGCCGATGTACAAAAGTGCAAAAAGTTAAAAAATAAAATAAAAAATAAAAAGAGTAAATTGCAAAATGCGTCCTGAGGAATTGGTATAAAATTTCAATTTATGGTTTACAAATAAATGTGTGTTTAAATTTCGGATCAATTTTTTACTACAAAATTATGCGAATATCGTTCGTATTTAATGTGAAGTATAATGGTACCGATGAATGTTAGCTATCAATACAGATTTGACAGCCAGAAATAACAATGAATGTTAGTAATGGTCCCGGGGCGGTTTGTTTTCAACCGGCAGGGCAAAAGCATGTTCAAAACGAGAGTGGACAATGTCATAAATTTTAGTGTTTGTACTATCAGTCATCATTTATAGTGCTTGCTAATCTACAATGGCGAAGCAAAAACGTGTTTTGTATTTTTGTGCACTCTGTTGTGTTGTGAATGTTTTGTTAGCCTTGTTAGTATACATTTTGATGTTATTAAAATTTACAATGCACAACACAACAAAATATTTTTTATGGCACGCCATAAGAACATTAAATAAAATATATACAGTAATGCTGTTAATACCGATAGTATTATGTATGATATAATACTTAATACTAAGAAAATGTCTTTATCCTCTTTTTGAAGATTAATCTGAACTGCCAACTATCTAAAGGAAATTCTATTTCTCCTACAGTTGTCACGTCTCAGTGACGGATTATGATGTATTTATATATTTGCGACTGCTATTCGGTATAACTTCGATGTTGATTGATGACGAATACTTCGTCTCAATTCCATCTTACATTATAACGAAATACGTTTTGTCCATAGTAGTAAGGTAATAAGTCTATAACACAATATGACTTTAGCAAGAGGTTTATACTTTAACTAGTTTAAATATCAGGTATTAAATGTTGGTAAGGATTTTGACACGTTCACATGCAATAGAAATTGCATGGAAGTGCAGATAGGATGCATTAGTTAGTTAATATTGATCAGCATTGTGCAATGAAGGTTCTTCAATAGTTTTGTATGGGACTTATCCCTCCCAAGCAACTCTTGTATACCAGGATCAACAGCAGTGCCCCACGAACGCACCGAGTTATGACTGTCTTGGAACCCGTAACGAAATTAATCAGAAGAAAATTGCAGGAGTTGGAAATATAATAAATCTACTTACCTCCTTAGTAAAGCGGGAGACGAAATGAAGTGAAATAGGTATACACCCTTTTAAACAGGGGAGCACCATGGCCATAAAATATTGTGTGTCCTAAGTGACCTGTATTTGATTTCTATAATACTCTTATGCATGGCAGAATCACCTAAACGAATTATTAAATTTTTAAAAATTAACCCTAGTTGACACAAGATTCCAATAGTATACCGTCTCAGATGTCACCTGTATGTATTGTATATAATAAATATTCTCAACAGTAACTTTTTGATGGCGGTCATCATGGCATGGTATCCAACTTTCTCTTGAGATCCTCCCGCTGTGTCCCAGGTCCAACACATCCTTCACAGAAAGTTGATTATACCTTACTATTTAAATACATTATTATTCTTATTCCATACCTTATTTTGTATTCCTTTACTACTAATGAAAAAAAGTAAACCTTTTTTGTACCTTTGGTTACATAGGGAATATTTTACTACACTGTTCCTTATTGAACCGCAAGAGCAAAACAACTCTTTCCGCAGCTCAAGAGGTGTCATATTAGTAATAATTTTTACCTAGGCAGATACCTGTATTCAGCAATAAATATTGTCACTGTTGTATAATATTCTCAGCAATTTGAACCTGTGGTATGAATTTTAAATTATTGGATCCTTTTTTCCTGCCTACGGAGTACTGATTAAAACTCTAGGGATATTCACTCAAAGCTTCTGTGACTCAAATTCATATTTATAAAGGATATATAATATAACTTACCTAAACAATTTTGGACCCAACAGGAGACTTCAAGAGAGATGAAGTAACATTAATTATTTTAATAATATAATGTAATATAAAAACAAAAAACTTTTTACTGGCTGTTTCCGAAGATCGGTGGCATTAAATTTGCATCTTACTAATGACATATTAGCGCATAATAATTTTAAGTAAAATTTATTAACGAAATAAGTTGCTTTCGCAAGGCTGAACCATGAAGTTTATTTTCCTTAACTAGACTTAACTGGCTCTGTATATTCTGAAAATAACGACTACAACTATTCCCAGCATGACTTATACACTCAATAATTGAATAATAATTCTACATCAAGCAGATAATTGTAAAACATATTGCGCGAGCTATTTCTTGCGTAACAGATGTTCACCTAGGAATTGGCCCTCGAATAATAGATTGGTCGTGCTCCATGTGTCATAAGTTATGAAGAACTTTCACATGGACAGGATAGAATAGCTTTTGATAGGTTACACTTTTGTTCAACAAACATTAATATAAGTAGTATACTGAAGTAACTGTATTAATTTATTGTTACGAAAGAATATAATAATAATATTATTATTACTGTAGGACACTCACAGGCCAGATGGAGTGACGATTTGCGCAAGCCGGCAGTAGCTGGATGCGAGAAGGCCAAAATCGATCCAAGTGGGGTGCAATGGGAGAGGCCTATGTCCAGCAGTGGACTGCGATAGGCAGATGATGATGATAATTATTTTGCTTTAATTTAAATGCAATCAACTGCCAAAGGGCTTAAATAAAACTAAATAAATAGAAAAATCAAAGGAGTTAATACTCTATCTAAACAGGATGATAGCTATCAATACTTTATTTCTTACTTTTATGATATTTTATTTATCCTTAGGTTTGAATCTTTATTTATCCTCAGTCGTATTGAATGTATAAAGCGGGATTTAATAGCGATAATACTTGTAAGGTACGATACCTCTTTGGTTATCCGTTGTTTCAACCGATTTTTACCGATTAGATCACGGATGGACTGTTTCTCAGTTGCGTTACGATTTTTTTTTACTTTTGATTCTATTTTCATCTTTTCCGTTCGGAGCCGATATTTGAGCTCAGATTTTTACCTCTTTAATATTTCATCAGACTCAATTATATACTTATAATAAAAATGAGGAGGATTTACATAGGTTTCACTTTTAAACTTTGAAAAACTGAAAAGACTGTTATCATTGTCATGAAAGTGAAATTCCTTTTAACTTAGTATAATACATTTACACCAAAAATTACATATTTTATTTCTAGACTAAAAATCTTTTCTACTTTCTTTGTCTTTAAATCCTCTTCACTTAAATTTCTCACTTAGATAGTTCAAGCTCATAAACGCGGGGATATAAAATTGATCGTCAACTTATACTCTGAAAAACTGCATAATTAAGCAATTTATAAAAATGATCTATCCCGTACACTTTGATCCAACTCCATTTTGATTTATGTTGGGAACTGTATAATGAAGAATAGCCTGGTTGCCTTTAAGCTGTGGTATTTTATGAAATATTAATGAGATAAAATGCTTTCATTTCGAACCACGTTGAAAACACATTAAATTTTTGAGAGCTCAGAGTTTGAGGTTGAAATTACTGTATATTAAGACTTTATTTATATTTCTTCCAAATGTGTTTTTGGTCAAAGGTGGTGTAAGTAGACTGCTCTTTGTGGATATATTTTGCAGAGACATATTCATTTTTGTTAACCTGTCATCACTGCGACTTTCAACATTAAAATTATGTTTTTGGGTAATGAAATTTAAAATTATTTAAATATTTCTTTTCATTTTTGCGTTGTATTCCTAAAGCACACTCGATGTATCTGATTTTATGATACGTAACGTATTGAAGATTTGAATTAAAACCTAATTAACACACTTAAACTTCTCCTTCCTTTAAGAATTGAGATTTATTACAAAAGTTATGAGGTATGATGAGTTTTAAGAGACCAAAGTCTTGTTTAAACATTAAATTATAAAAAAATGAAAAATCGTATCAAAGTAAACGTTTAGAAGGATATAAATAAGGATTTTTTTAAGTAGTCAAATATTTAGTTTGTGGATTACTTGAATATTAATAAAAAAAAAACTTTTGTTACAGTTACGACGGCCGTATCAAAGGGCCGACAGCTCACTGGGCAGACGACGTACTTGGCGGGCGCGCCAGGTGGCACGCTGCTACACCATCCTCGCTCCGAATACGTGACGTGCTCCCTACTGACAGAGCTGTGTATCGGTGTAGAGTCGACTTCAAGATCTCACCGACAAGGAACCATAAGATCTTGTTGGATGTTATAGGTATGAGAAAAGAAATTATTACACATTATCAGCATACTTTATTGCAAACATGACAACATAATATAGTCCTCAAAGAATTCATTTTTTTGCAAATAATGCAACCTTTTGCCTTTTTTTGCAATGAAACTATTTTCAAATGAACATTCGGTTTTAAAATACAACCATACGAAAAACGTTCTGTTCTCGTGAAACGTTACGTTTTCATTCATTTGAATGCGGGCGAAGCCGCGGGCAATAGCTAGTACATTATATTCATGTAGTAACATTTACAAATCTATTTTATAATCTACTTTATGTACAAAGGCGAGCGTAACTCAAGATGAAATTTCGTGCAGCTATTAATAGAAGGAAATTTATATTTATTAAGTATAATATTTGTTAGCTATTAAGGACCTGCTAAGAGTGACTGAAAGTTACAAGTTATATATTTTTTGAAATCATGAGGAACTCAAGAAACTAAAAAGGATTTATACCTGTTTTAATATATGTATAGTTATTAGCGGCTATAATATGAATTTTTAGACGAGTGAATAAACTCCTGTACCCAAACTAGCTACAGACTTAAGAGCTATCCTAGGCAGGTAGATTTGGTATTTATGCTAGATAATATGCATAAAACATAGTGATTTTTTATGAGCATACATTTTTGTTTGTGTGATGGGTGGAAAATCCCTTCGGATCTCCAACTCCTTGGCGATGCCATTGTGATGATGCGGGGATAGGACTATGTGGTATTTCTACTAAAAACTGGCCTGACACCCGTCATTAGGCACCCTACTCTTAGGAAAAGTGAAATACATAAAATTTTTACTCATATTCTGGAGGAATTGTAATAAATGGAGACCTTTATATCAAATTGTATCATGAAATATGGGTAATAATATAGTTTCCTATTATCTTCAGAAATTTCAAATCTATGTATGTTATCATCATGATAATACACATCTTTACATTTAATATATCTTATAGGTATTTGGGCTTTGTATAAGTTACGTAGACACACGATATAAATAAAAATATAAATCTTGATTGAAGCCCGAATCCGAATCATAAAAAGATGACATCTTATTAAATCTTCTCTCTCTACCTACAAATCGATTGAAAGGAGTAGTACTCGTACTCCTTTAGATCGCTTTGTTAGTGAAACAATAAATACAAGGACAGTCAAGTGCGAGTGAAATGCATGATATACAGCATGCAATAAATATTGAATTAATAATAATAACTTGACACACTTAACACACGCCGTCTGATTCCAAACTAGGCAGACCCTGTACTATGGGAAGCAGACCACTAATATACGAACGACACGAACCCATGACCTTTGGCCTATCGGTCAAGATCAATGACCAGTAGGCCAATAGTTCAGTTATAACAACAATGTAAATATTTTTAAATTAACGTCTTAGTATTAAAAGTAAATAATTATTTACTTTAATTACTAATACGTGACACACGTTGTCCGTGTGGTAACGGATTAAGAATACGGAGTGGCACCAACCCTATTTATTCCGTGGGTGTCGTAAGAGTCGATTAAAGGAGCAAACTACGCAGGAAAACAGCACTGCAAAGAGAAGAAAAACTTGTCAAAAACCCTATGCCAGCCCGTCTGGCCAGCGTGGTAAAGTAGGCTTAAACCTCCTTTCCAAGGAGAGGCCTATGTCCAGCAGTGGACTATTTAAGGCTGTTGATGATGACTAATACGTAAAATAGTAATAAATATTTGAACTAATACGAATGAGTAAGCAAAATGTGTTTTTTATTTCAACCTTTTTAAATACGATTACTTTTTATTTTTGAAAATATTTACCTTTTTTCATAGTTTCAAAGTTGATGGCACTTGACATTAAAATAATTCCACTTTTAAAAATTTACTTAACTAAACTTTAAAACATGATTTGGTATAAGTTTGTTAATCTAAATCAGTTCTCCATTACCTGGGATAGAGAGGGGTACCTGTAGATTTTTTTTTTAATAAAGACTTATGACTGCATACCTAACTATTCACAAATCCTTTAATTATAACACATAATTATTAAATGCTTCAAAAATTATTAGAAACTTGAAAACAGAAAAAAATGAATAATATTTTTTTAAATGTAAATGTTTTTACAGTTTTATGTAATATGTACTCTCATAAGGACTGTTTAATAGTTTTAATAAACGTTCTGAAAACATATCTACCAATGACTGCAGCAAGGTCGAAGGTCGTAGTAGTGCACTTAGAAAATCTGACCCGTGTACATATAATGTGACGATAAAATACAGAAGAGGTGTGTAAGCTCCCTAAAGGTTTGTAATCGTTTTGGGTTGATGTTTTGTCGATCAATTTAACTACGCTTGAAGGTACTCGAACCTTTAAATGTAGTCGTAATGTCTCACTCCCAAACTTTGAAAAGTCAAGACAAGTTCTTAAACACCAACTAGTTTCACATAAATTTATTTCCTTTGGCGCGTACTTAACGTTAAATACTTAAAGTTTAATAAATATGTTATCTGGTTATTTTAAGCAGACTTGATTCTAAACTATTTATAGACTATCAGTGTCTATCACTGTGAAATTCACAGTCTACTAAACGTCATTTAACATTTACAGTGACCATTTTGAATTCGAATGTAAACTTTTATTGCGTTCTTTGAACGTGTTATTTAAATGTTATAGTTATTTTATGTTTTTAAAGCTATGTTAAATCTTTTCTTTAGACTGCCTTGGTGGTGCAGTGGTACGTTATCTACTGCTGTGCTGAGGTTGCGGGTTCGAGACCCGGGTCGGAACAAATGTTTGTATGATCTGCAAATATTAGTTTCGGAGTTTGGGTATTTTCTAAGTATAATATGTACTCGTATGTATTTACAAAAAAAATTGTATATAAGTTTTTATAGTACAAGCGCTGCTTAGTTTGAAGCTAGATGGCTTTTTGTGTCAAATGTCCAGATATTATTATTATTCTCTTTATTACATTATATTTACATATTGATTACATGAAATATATTACAAAAGAAAAAAAAATGGTAGACCACCGACATCGGGTACAGGGACCAAGACACCGGTGGTTAGGACTGCAAAGACAGAAATTTCCTCACTATGCGGACCTTGTCAAAGAGAACTACCTTCAACTTAACTTTGAACTTGCCTTGAACTTTATTACTATTATATTTTATGTGTTTACTCCAATTGCAAAAATGGGCCATCTCGACCGGAGTGCTAGTACAGCCTCACAAAAAACCGGTGCTTAGCAATTATTTCATTGTTTTTCATGGAGTGATTGAGTTTGCCTTTTTTGGGGGCACTCAAAGGCCGTCAACGCGTGCATTTTTGTGCATCCAAAAGCGGAGGTAGTGACTTTCTATTAGGTGACCCGCCTGTTATGCCTGCCTCCTATGTAAAAAAAAACATATTTCGACATTTGATTTAAGATATTCGTTCTCTTTCTTGGCCAACATTTAAATTAATCAAGTATGACAGGTCGAACGGTCATCTCATAAATTTGTCCTTTCAATTTCAAAGGAAACTTGAGATGACATATTATTGCTGTTAACTGTCGCCACTTGGGTTCTCCGTTGCAAACCCTAATTTAAAATTTATCATAAAATAAGAAAGCACAAATAATTTTACTCAATTTTGCCATTTAATTTCACATTTTATTAATTTTTATTAAAATATTAACTTTGCGGAAATACACGTTTTGAACTGGCATCGAGGTTATTATATAGAACTCAAAACTCCCTCCTCCCCATAATTCTGGGAGGAGGATTAAAAAAGCGGCAACGTGCTAGTGACTCTTTAGTTCCAGGGGTCCGTGGACGGTGGTGGTTACTTACCATAACATGACCCGTTTGCTCGTTCACACTATGCCATAACAAAGAACTTTGGTCTATAGACTGAATGTACACATCACATACTTATTTAGATAATAAATTACTATATTTAAAGCTCGAAGCTTACTCTTCCTCAGAGAGTTTCAGTCATTTGCGACTAAGCTGTTTTATCAGATTTTTTTTTTGTTTATAAATGCATTAACAAACACACACATAGGCGGACTTAATGCCTAAGACATTCTCTGCCAGTCGACCGATTGGGCGATGCAGAGAAAGAATGAGGTAGGTGCACTTATGGGAAGGTAATAAATGGTAAAAAACTATTTATCCTTTGAATAAACAAATATACACAGTGATATATACATATACCCTAGTAAATACACATATATATATATATATAATAATATAATAATAATATTGTACCACATTCACACAACGCCATCTAGTCCCAAACTAAGCAGAGCTTGTACTTCTCGTATGGACTAGACAACTGATATAAATACAAATATACTTTTTTTTTGTAAATACATACTTATTATACATAGAAACACCCAGATCAAATCAAACATTAAATGTTCATGCACACAAATGTTTGACTTGAGCGGGAATCGAACCCGCGACTGTAGGAATAGCAGTCCGTTACACAATCCACTACGCCATTCGGTCGTCTATGTATATATGTATATGTATTTATACTTCACTTAATACTTGGATTCTACCGATGTCATAGTGGATTTAGCGGTCACCACGCCGCTTCCTACAACGCTGAGTGTTGTGGGTTCGATCACTACATGCGACGACACTTTGTGTGATCCACAAATTTGTTCTGAGTCTGGGTGTTCTTTGTGTCCAATTCATGTATGTTTTTAAAGTCCCCCGCGACATAGGATATATTCCTAATGCCGGAGTAGTTTGAAAATAAAAGATTACTAAGAAACAGTTAAAAGCTTACACAACTATAATTATATTAACAAGACAATAATAATATATTAAGTTAAAACTACATTGCACCAAATTTTTACATTCAAACAAAGGAGCACACCTGAAGCTATTTTAGGAAACTAGTCTGGAACTTCGAACTCTTTCACCTCTCAGGACTAAAGTTACTAGAGAAGACGCTACATTGTTAAAGCTGAAATTGGAAACTTGGAAAATTCCTAGAATACATACGACATGGGTAT